AAAAAAAATCAACTTTACTGAGGTGTACTTTACATGCATTTAAATTCACCCATTTTAAGTGTTCAATTTGTTTGGACAAATATGAGAGTGCTTCAAAAAGTTCACAGAAAAATGTCTTTTGGTATCCAGTTCTGAGTTTGAGGGCCCATATAGATCTGTGTAACCATCATCACAATTGGGACACTAAACAGTTCTATCACTCCAAAAAACTCCCTAGTGTTGCCCCTTAGCAGTCAGACCCTCCCCTCACACCTAGCCCCTGGCATCCACTGATCTATTTTTGATCCTAGTTTCATTAACTTGGTATTTTAAAAAACTCCTCAGCAGATTAATCCTGGATATTTAAAAAGTACTTTTGAAATAGGATAACATATTGCAAACAAATGCATTTATCTAAAACAAAAAGCAAATCCATTTGGTGTGTTTCTTCAAATACATAAAAAAGTATTAACAGTTTGATCAGTAAGTCTGTGTATTATAAAATTTTAGATTACTTTAGTCATAAATGTGAAAGTTCTTTTTAATCCAAGTTAAATAAAATGAGTTTAGTCAGGTCACCTTGAGAAATTCAAAATATCAAGACAGGCGGCTAAGTCACCATCTTATCCTATTTTTTGGCTAGAACAAAAAGATATTTCCTAATTTTTTCAATTCTCAAATGATTATTCAATTTAGAATAAAAGTAGCCAGAGGCAGAACATTTCCACTTGCACTAGAAGAAAGTGATGTTAAAAGCAAGACTATCACTTCCCAACATTGTCCAGGAAGGTGAAAAGCAGCAGAAATCATGTCTTCTGAGGTGAGTTTGAAGAATTTGGCATGTCTCATCTAGAGCTCTAATCGAAAGTAGCCAGAGGCAGAACATTTTATTTCCACTTGCACTAGAAGAAAGTGATGTTAAAAGCAAGACTATCACTTCCCAACATTGTCCAGGAAGGTGAAAAGCAGTAGAAATCATGTCTTCTGAGGTGAGTTTGAAGAATTTGGCATGTCTCATCTAGAGCTCTAATCACATATGGAGCCCACCATAGGTTTCAGAATTCAATGCTCAGCCTTGCCATCTATTAGCTCTGATGATTTTGGGCAAAACAATGTGACCTTCTTGAGCTTGTTTCCTCATCTGCACAGTGGAATTATATATCTAACTTCCATCGTTGTCATGAGGACTAAATGAGACAATGCACATTAAGCATGCAACAGTGACAGCTGATGCTAGGAGGTGTAGGAGTAGGTGTGTAAATTATCATAGCTGGTGTTAGGAAAAAATACTATAGACATCATTGCTGGAGTCAGTGTTTTCCCTCAAGAGTTAAAGATGGACACTGGCATTGAGAATACTGGCAAGAAATGAACCTGGAAAGCATATATGGCCTATTGTGACCAAAAGTACTTTAAAAAACAGGTTACATGACTATATGCCTAAGTGCTATGCAATCAGCAATAAGAATCCTTATTTTGTTCATAACTCACTCTCTAACATACTATTAAATTCAGATTATCCTTTCGTTGGTTTTAAACAAATTATGGTGGCTTAAGTTGCTTTAAATAAAAGAAAAAACTGTGTCTATTTTTGTAAAACAAATAATTTTTATTCAAGCTAAATCCAAAGGATTTGTAAAAAGCAGTGGCATCTATTCAAAAAGGCCTCATATGGGAAAGTAAAAAAAAAATTAATAGCTGAGGCCATTACGTGGCTGATTTTATCCACGCTAATGTGACTGTCTTTAAGAGCTTACACATACAAACACCAATTCCTCTCCGTGGGTAGTTGCCATTTAAGCTCCTAAGTAAGAAAGCCAGTTCCACTTACTTGACTACCTGGGGGGAGAGCAGGCGGCTGGCAGAGGAAGGCTTTTATAGGCTGATTCATTCAGTCACAAACACCCTAAGTAAGTGCCTCTATGTGGGGGAATGGATTCTCACTGCCAGGATGGCATCAGTGTGACTCTCCATTAAAAAAAAAAAAAAAGCTTTGTAATATCCTCGTCCACACTGCGCCTTTCGAAATCTGTCATTTCTCAAGCTCATGGTCAAATGCCCCTGTTCACATAAAGCCATTCCTGATCCTCTATCTCCTCTAATCTCAAACCCAGTCAGAACTGACCACTCCCTTGAGTGTTCCTAATGCCCTTTGATCAGACTGTTTATATCTATTGTATTAGGGTCATCTCTTTCTTGCACTCCATTATGCACACTATTCATCACACAATAACAAAAGTAAGATAAATGTTATCTTACAAAGTAAGATAAGTGTTAGGCCTTGACTAGGTGTTGAAAATAACCAGAGGAAGAAAAAATAGTACTGTGTAAAAGAAGCCCATTGCTCAGATGGGGAGTCAGGCAGAAAATATATTAATTTCAGCAAGCACAATTTGTGCAACATACTAGTGACAAGTACAAAGTAGGCTAAGAGTATGGAAAGGAGAGAAAGATTAGGGATGGCTTCACAAAGAGGGATGCCTTGAGGGCATGTAGTAGGATAAGAAAGTACATAGGCCGCAGAGGGAAAATCAGGTTCAGTCAAGAAGGCATGAAATGTGGGTGTAAAGTGTCAGTTATGCAAGATGAAAAGGTTCTGGAGATCTGCTGGACGACATTATGCTCGCAGCTAAGAAAACTGTATTGAATACTTAAAAACTGTTAAGAGGGTAGATCTCATGACATGTGTTTTTTAACCACAATTTAAAAAAATTTAGAAAAGAAGGCATGAAACAGCATGGCCTGTCTGAGAAACTGCAAGGAGACCACTGTCGCTGGAGTGATGGGAGAAAAGAGGGAGGTAGGAGAAGCTGGAGAACAGGATAAAAGCCAGATAAGAATGGGTCTTGTGACTAGTGTTTTAACTTTTAATTTTCTAGGCAATGAAGAGCCAAAGAGAACTAGGATCAGAGCTGCATTTTGGAGCAGCAACTCAGGTGGCAGTGTGGATGATGGATGGCCTAATGGGTAAGCAAGGAGGCTGATAAACTCTGATGCAGGCTAGGTGAAACCAAAAGGCCTGGGCTAGGGCAATGGTATTAGGGGCAAGACTGCCTTCTAAAACACTTACTGCTAGTTCTAAGTCAGGAACTCTGCTGTTTTGCTCACAGCTATATTCCCAGGTCTAGAACAGGGCCTTGTATACAGCAGGTGCTCAATAAATACCTGCTAAATTAATAAACAAATCCCTTGAGGGCAGGAACCCTGGCTAATTCATATACGTATTCCTCAATATTTTCAGCAGAATATATACAAAGGATGCTCAAAAACGTGTTGATAATATTTTTTTAAGGGCACGTGTCCTGGATCTTTCCAAATGACATCAAACTTCCTTGGTGAAAAGTCCAATAACAGAATTTTTCCAACCCTCAGCTTTGAACAACCCACCTGGGCATCTAGCAATCCAGCTGGGCACTTTCTGCTTCGTAAATAGTTGCTGTCAACAAAGCCTCAGCAATTAGAGCTCAGCTGTTGGCTGTGCTGACAATGGTCAGGACAGCCAGTGACACTGTGGCCCTCCGGTGTTTGCAGGACAGCATCAACTCACATTGTGAGGGTAGCACATCATTCCCTCTGGCCGCAGCCACTGTCAGAGGCAAGGCTAGGCTGATGCCTCCTCACATTGCCCTGCAACCCACAATCAGTAACTTTGAGGGGATTTTCCCCACAGAGGAAGAATGAAGGGATTTAATTTCTCTGTTATATCAAGAACCAATAAAAGGGCAATTTTGGAATTTTTCTCAGGTGGAATACACCAGGCTCAAGCCATCAGCTTGTCTGACTCCTCCCCACGGTCTGCAAAAGTCCTCCAGCTGCCAGTTTGAAGTCAGCTGCCTGCTCACAGGGACTCTCTAATAGTACACGTTGGTTTTAGGAAAGCATCCTGTACCTCTGAGAAACAGGCCCCTGATGGTGTCTCCACTAATATCAGTAAGAATTCTTTCAGGGATATCCATGTTGCATTCACTGCATAGGGGCATAAGCACAGGTGTTAAGCCAACACTCAGGCCTGGGTACAAATCCTGACTTCCACTTACCAGCTGTGTGACTTTAAGTAGACGATTTAACCTTTCTGAGACTTAGTTTTCTCATTTGTAAAATGAGAATAATACCCCCTGCCATTTAGGATTCCAAAGAAATTAAATGAGGGAACCCATATAACGTAATAGATATGGTGCCTGATACCCAGCAGGCATTGCATGAATGCTTGTTCCTTTCCTTACCCTGGGTGGGAGGAGGAGGTTAGTGAATGGCCACCTTATATGCAGCAGGACTCATGGAAGTCTCACACACAGGGAGAAGAAAGCAGCTCAATGAGAGAGAAAGTATGGAAATTGACAGTTAGCAGATTCTGCATCTTCTATACTTAAGAAAGTTACACAATGTGAATGATAGAGGTTGTCCCAAGTACATAAAGGAAACTAATCTGTTTGCAAAGGGAGGAAAGAGCACAGAATAAAGATTGTAAGTTGTTTGAAGTTTCTTTCCTAATTACCACTCATAATGAAAATTTAATTGCCAAGTTAAAAGCAAATTTCACTTTTTCTGTCAAAGACACTCTGTAGAAACTGGCACGTTTTGTTTGAACAGCAAATCAAAGTTACTTTAATGCTTAAATGAGATCTAAAGAGCTGCAGATGTTTCACTGGGAATAACAAGCTTCAAAACTCTACCCTACTGAGTCGCAGCAACTCACAGCTAGAGGGAGAAAGAAAAGCTGTTTTGAGCTGAGTAACCCAAAGGGACGGAGGGGATTCAAATTCCAAATACCCTAGTGCAGGCACTCTGGCGACAAGGTGGGCAGAGAATGATACAGAGAGAGGGTTTCTTGCTCAGAGGAGTTTACAACTGAGTAGGAGAGAGAGAACCAGGAAACATCCCAAGATTAGGAAACCAAAATTAAGAAAGCTTTGGGTCATGGAAGAATAACCAGAAGCAAAAAGGTAATCTTCCTGAGGGTGCTTTCACGCACCCTTGCCTTCATTCTGATCCACATGAGTGTGAGTCAAAAGACTGCTCACCTGTAAGGTGCTGGTGAGGAAGTTGTCTTGGGAGACAATATCTACAAAGAAGTCAGCAGGGATCTCACCAAGCTGGTGGTACAGGATGGAGATGAGGTTGATGTAGAGGGTGTGGTGCTTCTCCATGGCTGCTTCTGACCGACACAGGAGGTTCAGGAGCTGCTTCCAGTGCTCAAATGCTTCATACACATTCCCCAGCAGGAAACATACGAAGGCAAACTGGAGTTCACCTGAAAGGTGCAAAGAGGAGAAATGATCCCGAGAGAGAGGAGTACCAGTTGACTCTACCCTATGCTATTTACAAGGCCATCAATTCTGCTGGACTTCAGTTACCAGCTAGCCTTTTATCCTTGTCACTTGTGCAGAGCCTAGCATGAGATTTTGCACCTAGCAGGTGTTCAATAAATGTTTACTGAACTGCCATAAATTCAAGCCATGGGAGACCAAACTGTGTCTTTGGATTTCTGTAAAATCAGGCTGCAAGAGAAGAAATATTCTTCGTATTTGCCTTGCACTTTAAAAGTTTACAAAATGTGTCCATGGATATTATGCGAAGCGGATCCCAAACCTGGCTGCCCATTAGAATACTAGGAGAGCTTGGTAAAAGTAAAGCTGCCCAAGCCTCATTCTCAGAGATGCTGGCTGAGGTGAGATGATGGGACCTCAGTATCTGTAGCTCTAACAAGCTCCCCAGGTGATTCTGATGCAGAGAGTCTGCTCCAGGGTCAGGGAAATAATGTATTACACCACCCAACCCTCAGCCCAAATCCAAGAGGTGATCAGGGAAGGTGATATTTACCTCATTTTATAGATGAGGTCAAGGGCTTGCCAGAGGTCACACATCTAATGCTTTGCAATGTGAACAACGGAAAGATAAAACAGATTTTCTATTGGGTGGGAACAGTTCTAGAGTCTCCCAAAAAAGGAAAATTCATGAGTACATATTCCAGGGTTAGCCTACAAGCCAGATTATTTTTGTTTAATCACAGGGCTCTGTGATTTAATCTCCATGAGCAGCTCGGTGGCTAAGAGCATGGGATCTGGAGCCAAACTGCATGGATTCAAATCTTAGCTCTACCATTTAGCAGCTGTGTGACTTTGGGCAAGTTACTTAATCAATTTATGCCTCGATTTCCTTATTTGAGGGCTGTAGTGAAGATTAAATGAATCGATATTACCCTTAAAGCATTTAGAACAATACCTGGCACAAAGTAGCACTGAAAAAATATTAGTTACTAAAACAAATACAAATATATCTTTATATTAGTTACTATTCCCAATTTCCACCAGACGTCTGTCAAACAAAGAGACCTGATGATCCAGAAACCACTGTCCCTGGGCAAGCAACTGGGTTTCTGGTTGCCACAGATATATTGTAGCTGATCACAGACATTCTCTTTGGGTTCAAAGGTGAGTGTAAATTTAATGAGGTATACAAACGTGGGCCATAAAAAGAACAGCTGCACTCAACACCAAATATCTCTTTAAATGCATGGTCATGATTTCTGTCACATCCAGAGACCTGGAAAAACTAGTTCTGTTACTAAATTTGTGGAAATAAGTTTGATTTATGTAAATAGCTATCTGATCTAGATATTTTGGACATGTGACCAATATTTTCAAAATATAGTCAAAGTTTCTCTGTATGATAGAGGTTAATGATTTGCCTCTTTTGTTGGCCTTACCTGGTTAGTAAAACTAAAAATTAGCCTAATTTTTGCTTTTAGGGAATTTATTTAAGTTTATGCATTTCTGACCTCGTCTAAAATTAAATTATGATATCAAAAATAATTTCAAAGAGCTGACATGTAGATTCAAAGTTAATACTGTAATGGACATTTTCACAAGATATATTTTGAAGTGAAATGTTTGAGAGGTAGAAAACAAGATTTCTATTCATTTTTAAGCCAGAATTTCAAGAGTTACTTATTACAAGAAAATACTATGTGATGCATTAAGATGCACCCATTAAAATATCCCTTATATCATCAGCTGAGCCAATAATGTAAAAAGTCCTATATCAAATTTCTTACCAACCTTCCAATAGGAAAATATGCAAATTACCTGGACAATTTGTTAAAAAAATATATAAAGTTGTTAAAGATGTGACAAACATTCACTGTCATTAGTACTGAATAAATATAAATAGAAACAAGATGTCATTTTTCAGCCACCCCACTGGAAGAGGCCTTTGCTAAATTACCAACCTTCCAATAGGAAAATATGCAAATTACCTGGACAATTTGTTAAAAAAAAATATAAAGTTGTTAAAGATGTGACAAACATTCACTGTCATTAGTACTGAAGAAATATAAATAGAAACAAGATGTCATTTTTCAGCCACCCCACTGGAAGAGGCCTTTGCTAAACTGCCATGCCCAAAGCTGTCAAAGGTGATGGGCAACACCTCCTGGATGCAAAACCTCCTCCTGGCAACATGCACACTCTGATCTAACAATTCTAACCCTAAACACACGTGTCAGTACACTCAAGAATGTCCATTAGATGATGTTTATAACAGGGAAAAATAGAAACATCTTAAAGGTCCATCGATAGAACTGGTTCAATAATTATGGAACACTACACAGCCACTAAAAAGGAGTGACAGTTTCAGTGACATGGAAAAATGTTTATATTAAAGCAGATGACAAAAACAAACAGCAAAAAGAAAAAAACCAAAAAAACAAAAAAGAAAGCAGATTAGAAAATAAAATACTATAATCCTGCTTTCTGTAAAAAATCATATATACACATAAACACATATAATTGAATTTTTAAAACACTAAAAGTAAATACATAGAAACAGAAGGAAAAAAGATTTAAAGAAATATTTCTAGGGGGTGGAATTTGACGTGAAGTCTAGTTTTTCTTCTATGATTAATATATATTATTTTGTAATAACGGGGAAAAGCAATAATAAAAAATGTAACAATTGGGGGAAAAAATCACTGTCCTGTTCTAAGCCAATAGAGAAACCAACATCATGACAGAGTCAGCCGCAAACTAAGGAAGCAGGTGGGAGGCTACTAGGAACACAAGTCTGGCCTCGGAACCTGAATCTCTGGACTCTGGTTGCAGTTCAAACACTCAGTTGGCCAAATCTTTTCTCTCTCTAGGGCTGGGCCATATCAGTGGTTACCAAACACAGGATTATCTGTACCAGGTTCACCTAGGATGCTTGTTTATTACATATACAGACAGACAAATTGCTGAAGTCCCACTCCAGGGCTCTTGAATCAAAATCTCCAGGGGTAAGGGTAAAGATATGTCTGTATCTTTAATGAGTATACTGGGTGAGTCTGCCTTCTAGCCAGGTTTAGTAACCACTGGAACAAATAACCCAAGATGTATTCCCTATTTTAAAACACCCATACTAATATCCTCCCCACTTCCAAAGAGCTTGTTCCTTCTCACCAAGCACATCCTGGGGGCTGCTGGGGAACTTGCTGAGCACAGTCTCCAGGGCATAGCTCAGGTCCATGCTATGTCTGGTTATCTCTGCTGGTGTGGCACCTTCTGGGTACATCTGTGTGGGCAGCTCTGAAAAGCGGATCTCTGTCCCAGCTCGGGGCTTCATTTCAGGCAGCCGTGCCAGGCCCTCTTGGTAGCTTTTGCACTCAGTGCCACAGCGGGGTAGATTCTGCTCCTCCCGGTCCTTGGTGTGCTTCATGGAGAGCACAGGCAGCACATCTGAGAACGCACAGATCTGCCGGCTCTCGGGCTGCAGCTTCTCCATTGTGGCCTCACTGATGAAGTTGGTGAGTGAGATCCACTTCTTGAGCATGGCATATGGGTAAGGTCCCAGGAACTGGTCCAGCTCCTGGAGATTGGCCCTCATGGCTTCTACCTCAGCCTCTGGGGCTGGAGACAGGTCTATCTCTTCCTGGACTGCATTCCAGCGCAGGACCATCAAGCCCCGCTGCTGTAGGCTAAGGAAGAAGCCCATACGAGGGCCCAACTCCCTGGGATTGGCCTTGTCCACAGAGCTGTAGTGGAGGAAGTGGATACCTGGGGGGATCATCTTCACACCCCGGAACTTGGGTCCCACCTCCCAGGAGTTGTAGTCAATGCCAAACTCTGTCCCCTTTGGCATGTTCAAGATGACCACAGTGGCCCCTTCAAAGAAGAGGCGCTTGGCTAGCTCAGGATCCATCTGCATGGCAGCCATGTGGGGCCAGTGGTAGGTGACCAAAAGGAGAACCCTTCTTCCTTGCCTTCCAGAACAGCTGAAAAAGAAAGAAATCAGAGTTAATCAGAACTTGTGGAAGGATGCTTCATTTGTTGAGCATTCTCTATGTGCCAGATATTGAATTAGATTCCTAACATAATTATCTCCCTTAATCCTCACCACAACCTTGCATCATTTTACAGATAAAGAAAATGAGGATCAGAGAAGATTTTTATATTTTGGTTTAACAAGCAAGAGCACTCACTTCACAGCTGGAAAGACATGAGTTAAAGAAAAGTGACATGCTCAAGGGCACACAAAGACCCAAATTAGAATCTGGGTACCCTGCCCTTCAGGCCAGTATTCTTTCCACTGCCCATTCTTAGTATCTGCTCTCACATCTCTTTCTCACAACGGAGGATGAGGATGGAAAAAGCCTGGGTGGTTCATTCTAATCTAAAACTACGGCTAAATCATCTTAAACTATCATTCTGCCTAAAACCTATCGCTGGAGAGTGCCAGAAGATTTGGGAAGAATGATTAAATCAAGTGCATACCTAGTTTCCCATAAGGCTCAGGGAAGGCCCAGAAATGGACAGAAGGTAGAAAGTGGGGGTTCAGCATCTAAAATTCACAAAAGGCTAGGGGAGTGGGGAGCTTTTCAATGACAAATCCCTCTTCTTTTACTCATAACAAACCTAAACTCCAGGGAGTAAAACAACTTCCCAAAGTGCCCACAATCAGTGGCAGCTCTGAACCATTCATCCAGAATGGATTTAGGTGGCAGGGCTGGCCTAGGATCAGTATTTTGAAGAGAAAGAGTTTAGAACACGTATTTTTACCTACCTCTGAATTATCCATAGGAACACACTGATAAAACTTCTACAGGCAGACACTGCCTCTGTGGTATTTGTAAAAATGGTTCCAATGTGAACTAATTTAAACCAAACAATTATCTAACCTTCTAGTCCTAAGACATCTATCTATGCCATTCAACAAATAGTCACTGAGTGCCTGATTTGTGCCAAGATCTTTGCCAGGGCCCAAAAGAAGCATCCACAGGATAAGACAGTCACTGCCCTCAAGGCACTTCCAATATAGCTGGATTTACAAACAAGACCCCCAAAATTCACAAACAGAAAAAACAGCTGCCTGTTTGTTTACTCTTTTTATTTTAAACAAATAAAACACTGAAGAGAGGAAGACCAATCCTTTTCCAAAAACATTAAGAGCATATTTTATCTTCTTTACCCAGAAACTGCTACAAATGACTTTCACTCTAAATCAGCATTTTTTTTCAAACTGCAAGTCACAGCCCATTAATGGGTTAAGAAATCAATTTTGAAGGTCTCAACTAGCATTATTTATTTCAAATAAAAAGAACATAGGGCCGGCCCGGTGGCGCACTGCTGTAGTGCGCCGCTTGGGAAGTGCGGTGGCGCTCCCGCCGAGGGTTTGGATCCCACGTGAGCGAGGGGCGGGAGCAACGCCGAGGGTTGCGATCCCTTGCCAGTCACGAAAAAAGACAAAAAAAAGGAAAAAAAAAAAAAAAAAAAAAAAAAAAA